CTGTTCAAAAAGTAACATTCATGTGTTGTGATGTTTTCTGTGTAAGCTAAGGTGAAAAACAATAGGGAGAGGGGATGGAGAGTAGCGGGCCAGAAGGCCATAAGTGTTCTTTGGGCAAGGAAGTTGGGCGCTGTTGTCACCAGCACAGGCCGACGGGAACTGTGAGGGGCAAGAAAAGGTAAAAATGAGGAAGGACAAAATAGATGAAAGAGGTGGAGAGCACGCAGGAGTTTTCAAGAAAAAAAGGAGGCAGTTTGGGATGGAATGTTGAAGGGGACACAAGATTTTAAATGAAAGTGGCAGGAGCCGAGAGGGAAATCACCTCAGAGCAGGGCAACATGTAGTCAGCCAGTGCTTACATGAGCGGACTGAGAAGGAAACTAAGGCTACAATAGGGTGTCACTAGGAAAAGCACCTCATCAGGAAAGTCGTATTTAGTTGCCTGGTTTGCTTCTGTTTCTTCTTTGAACTCAGATGACACTTGACAGTTTTACAAATGAACAGTGAAGAAATGTTTTAGAAATGATGCTTCCCATAAACAAGAAATGAAGAAAAGTGGTTATTTAGGGTCCTGGGGGGGACAGAATTTTAAGTGTTTGGGTTGTTTTTTAAATTGGATTGTAGAGGTGATTTTTTTAGGCTTCGGAAATGACATTTTCTTAGATGTTGACGATGATTATAATCTATGTTTGCAGGATAAATATAAAAACCTTCATGATACTTTTCTTTCTGCTTGTTATGTGGCTATATGAATTGAACTATCTATTTCAACTAGGATTAATATCTGCTACTTGCTGGGTAATATTCAGAGAAATAGGAATGAGCACAATAATGGAATTCCCTTATGTTTATTGTTTTGCTCTCTGCTTTTACCAGTTTTTATTAAAATATTTGCCGGCATTTATTATGCCTACCTATACATTCGCATTTACTGCAATTTCCTGCTTATTACACCTTTTTTATTAATACAGCTTCTCTGTCTATGTGTATTGGTTCATTCAAAATCCCCTTTATCGNGGCTACAATAGGGTGTCACTAGGAAAAGCAGCTCATCAGGAAAGTCATATCTAGTTGCCTGGTTTTCTTCTGTTTCTTCTTTGAATTCAGATGACACCTGACATTTTTATAAATGAACAGTGAAGAAATGTTTTAGAAATGATGCTTCCCATAAACAAGAAATTAAGAAGAGTGGTTATCTAGGGGGCTGGAGGGAACAGAATTCGAAGCGTTTTTTTTCTTCCTGATTTTTAAACCCTATGGATTTTTCTAATATTGAAAATAAAATTGTGCTCTTCAAAAATGATGTATCGTAAGTAGCATGAGAATGACAAATCCTTTGCGTGATAAGTAGGTTTCAAGTAAAGGCTGCTTTTCATCTTTACAAATATTTTCTTCCTGAATCAGAGCGCGTACTGATTAACAGTCATTAATCGTTTTTAGACCTAAGAATAAAAAGAACGACCTACCTAAGAATAAAAAGAAAAAGTCAAGCACCACATGTGTAATTCCGCATTTATCAAAACAACTTCGTGGAGTCCTTTGGGTTGCTTTTTAAATTGGATTCTAGTGGTGATTTTTTTCTAGGCTTTGGGGTGACATTTTCTTAGATGTTGACGATGACTATAATCTATGTTTGCAGGATAAATATCAAAACCTTCATGATACTTTTCTTTCTGCTTGTTATGTGGCTAGATTAATTGAACTATCATTTCAACTAGGATTAATATCTGCTACTTGCTGGGTAATATTCAGAGAAATAGGAATGTGCACAATAATGGAATTCCCTTATGTTTATTGTTTTGCTCTCTGCTTTTACCAGTTTTTATTAAAATATTTGCCGGCATTTATTATGCCTACCTATACATTCGCATTTACTGCAATTTCCTGCTTATTACACCTTTTTTATTAATACAGCTTCTCTGTCTATGTGTATCGGTTCATTCAAAATCCCCTTTATCGTGGTCTGTTTTTGGTTAGCAGGATTCTCTCAAGTAGAGGAGATAATCTTCACTTTCATAATATTACATCTATGGTAACAGAACTTCATTGATGCGTAAACTGACTAAGCTTTGATTCTTCCTATCTTCATTATACCTCCACTTTCATTCGTACCTATGTGTTCCTTTTCGTAGTTTGATGTTATGCGTCTTTCATGCTTTTTGTCTTATTGTCTTTCCAGAACTTAATGATCTTTCTTCATACAAGTCATATGTATTACCTTCATTCATGTATAAATGATACCAGTTATTATTATGATGATGACTTTTTAGATGAGTAAACTAAAGCTCACAGAGTTTAAATAACGTTTTTGGTTTTATTTTTTTCCAAAAAGCATTACTTGAGGAACACTCAGGATGTCATTTTGACTTTGGATCAGAAGCTAGGCTTGAAGAGGGTAAAGAATGGTCCTTTACATTTACCTGCTGGACTGGCTTACATGTGAAGTCTAGGAAATGGCATGTGACCTACCCAAGCAAAATGAGACCGAAGATTACAATAGTAGGAGCTGTACAGTTTTCTAATGGACAAAATAAAATTGCCTCTATTTAAAGATTTATTTCTCCCAGGTTCTGGCCTTGGCTCAGAGCAAGAGTACTAGCAATGCAGTCAGGGTCTGTAACCTGGTGATGATAATAACCTAATGAGGGAACTTGAATAAGTCACTCTGACCTCTCTGAGCCTCAGTTTCCTCACTTGTAACATGAGAATGTTAAAACTGAAGTTTGCTAAGGGCCTCCTACTTCTAAAATGCTTCAATTCTAGGAGATAGGCACGAGACAATGCTAGTACACGCTCAAGGGAAAGACAGGGCAGGGAGAAGTTTGATTCTAAACTGGGGAACAACACATGAACCAGACCATTTGGGGCTTCTGCACATCTGTGCTCAAGTGGGAGCAGAGGCAGTTCCTCATAAGAGTACCAAAGTGTTCCAGCACTTACAGACATCATACACTTTGATTTTTGGTATCTCAGTGAGTATTGGTATTAGAGACTTCC